CAGTATGTTGGGCCGACACAGTAAAATGTCCATCAGAAACAAGCGTACCCTTTATAAGGTCTGTATACGACCAGTCATGTCCTACGCGGGCTCCATTTTTGCCCACGCTGACCCTAAAATCATTAATGAACTCCAAGTAGTTCAAAACCTCTTCTGTCGTCGAGCTACGAACGCACCTTGGTACGTCCGTAATGCCGACCTTCATCGGGACTTAGAGCTCCCTACAATCCAACAATTCCTTAAAAAACTCTCTGAGAACTTCTTCAAAGCCTCAGAGTCGCATTCAAATCATTTTATTCGTGAGGCAGCTAATTATGCAGCCCCACCCGCTATAGCGTCCGCAGGCCGAGGAACTCCCTCTCGGACCCGCCTAATAAACTTTCAAACGACCTGAACTGCCTCCTGGCGGCTCAGGCCAATTCTAATTAAGTTATTCATAATTAATTTGCCTTCCCAGGCACTCCCTCAGCGGCTACTAGCCGCCTGCGCCCTCTTTTCCCAAAAGAGGGTCGCTTCCGATACGGCATAAGAAGCTTTAAACAGCTAGTTGCCAGTCCCCAAAGGCGGTTTTAGAGGGTATCACTTAGGTTCCCCCGGTAGGCAGTGAGTCCCTCATAACCACGATAGACCGGCTGTCGTGGTATGCGTAATGCATTTCCGCCTCCCTAAATAAAGGGTAGCCCTTTTCCCATTGCTTCGGGCGCAAAAAAAAAAAAAGGTTAAAAAAATTAGTTTATATCGGTGTTGACGTCGTCTATATAGAGACGAGTGTTTAATTTTTCTACATTTCTAGAATTTTATTATTACGTATTAACGACAATGTCTGGACGTGGTAAAGGCGGTAAAGTGAAGGGAAAGGCAAAGTCCCGTTCGAATCGTGCCGGTCTACAATTCCCCGTTGGACGTATTCACAGGCTGCTGCGAAAGGGAAATTATGCAGAGCGTGTGGGTGCCGGCGCTCCGGTGTACCTGGCCGCAGTCATGGAGTACCTCGCCGCTGAAGTTCTAGAGTTGGCCGGTAACGCTGCTCGGGACAATAAGAAGACCAGAATCATACCGAGACATCTTCAGCTTGCCATCCGCAACGATGAAGAGTTGAACAAGCTCCTCTCCGGTGTGACGATCGCCCAGGGCGGTGTACTACCCAACATTCAGGCGGTCCTTCTTCCCAAGAAGACCGAGAAGAAGGCCTAAACGAGTGTGTACACTACTCCCGTCGCATTACTACACCACACCACTAGGCCCAAGAAAATGGTTGAGAACTTTAGACGAGAGTATGCGTCGACGTTTTATCGATCGGTAATGCCCTAATTGTACTATATACGTATTGCATATTCTGTTTTACGCTCTTTAGTATAATAATGGTGCATTCGCCGTCCGTCGACTCGTGTCTCTACTGCTCTATTGCTATCTACCGTTCGTGGTGGTTGGTACGTGATTAAAAGGCCCTTTTGAGGGCCACAAATACTATCGATAATTTATAAATTTAGTCTCTTAGAATGCGAACGTTCTTTAAAGCCTATTTCCTCAGTTCCTCCTATCCTATACCTTATTCCTTTTTGTACGCTATTACTTTATATTGGTAATGGTAACGATAAGACGAGAGCCATATTTATTATGAATTAATAATAATCAATAGACTAAAAGGTAAAAAAAAAAAATTTTTTTTTTTAAGAGAAACATATATAAATACTTACCGTTCAACATATTATGTAGTAAAAATCTCTTATGAACTTCACCGTTGCCGTTGGCTTTAGATGGATTAGAGGATTGCCTCGCCGCGATAAATGGACTCAATGTATTATGTTAATTATAAATTTACATGCATTATTAAAACATTATCAGTAGTTATTTTATTATTATAAAATATTCGATAATGATTTATTTTATTAAAATAATTGGGTATTAGTATAATTATATATTACTTATATTGGAATGTTTAATAAAATAAAAATTGCGTTCTTTCTAAACTAATCTTCCGCCCGTATCCCCTACTCTCTACCCTACCCCTTCCATTTGTCCGGGCAAACTGGTCGTTGATTGGTTGATCTACACTCGATACGCTCGTTAGACCACTAGCTAGTAGAGTCACCGTGATAGTCGTTATATAAGAAAAAAAAAATTTGTGTTGTTCAGTGATAATTTAGTATTATCCGTGATCACATTTACATTAAATATTCTTCAAGATGCCGCCGAAAACTAGTGGTAAAGCCGCCAAGAAGTCTGGTAAGGCACAGAAAAACATCTCCAAGTCGGATAAGAAGAAGAAGAAGCACAAGAGGAAGGAGAGTTACGCCATCTACATCTACAAGGTGCTCAAGCAGGTGCATCCCGATACTGGTATATCCAGTAAAGCGATGTCCATAATGAACTCTTTCGTTAACGACATCTTCGAACGCATAGCCGCAGAGGCCCCGCGCTTGGCTCATTACAACAAGCGTTCGACTATTACTTCACGGGAAGTGCAGACCTCCGTGAGACTGCTGTTGCCCGGTCAACTCGCCAAGCACGCCGTGTCAGAGGGCACCAAGGCAGTCACCAAATACACCAGCTCCAAGTAAGGTCGGTGATTGGTGTGTGTTTTAGGTGTATTTCAAAGGCCCTTTTCAGGGCCACAAAATATATCGTATTACTATCCGTTTCTCATAATAACGTCACCCTGCATTTCGCTCGTTCGTCCGCTACGCTAAGAGTATTTATTCTTTTATAGATAGACCTCGCATGCAAATGTACAATTTTAAAATACTTACATACAACTAATACATAAAAGGATACGAAAAAAAATAAAAAAAAATAATAATAATAATAAAGGGATCTTATTTGAAATTACGTAAAATAAATTTGGAATAGTCTACTTAATAACTAGAAATCTGCTATAATACGCGCCTAAGAGAGCTTAATAACTATTAGATATAATTATAACCTACAATTTAAGACACAAACGATATTTTTATTACAAGGAGTATATTTTGAGCAAGATATTAGTGATTTCATATGAAATTAAGACCTCGAGGGTTCTCTATAATGCAAATATCATAATATCATAATATTGTATATTATTATTATTTAAAAGTTTTTAATACGATTGCTTGGTCTACCCGATATTCACGATGAAGTAAAAACGGAGAGGGGGTGGGGGTGGGGTGGGGGGAGGGAGGAAAAGAGATGGGTAGAGAAGTCTCGCCTGTAACCGCACATTTGTCGACCATATAAAAGCGTCGCCACTCGCGACGATTTCGATTCCGCCTGTTCCACCGCCCCCGAGCGGTTGTGTACAGGTTGTCCGCGTGCCTAGCGTCCCAACGCTAGTGCCCCCCGCTCCGTGCCTCGCGCTTTTCAGATAGTGAGCGCCTAGCGCTGAAGTCCGGTAAGTGTTTTCTGCTAACTCTCAGTTCTCACCCCCCCGCCCGCGGTCGGGGAGGTTGGCTGACCGCTTGTATTATATTGTAGAACACTAGATACTAGTGTATAAGTTTATTAGTATATTTTATTACATATCTGTTTGTAGGGAGAGGTTGCCTCTGTGCCACTGTTAACATCGGCTCCTTACTTTAATTGTGTTAATAAAGCAAATAAAGTGAATTAGACCTAAATATATAATTCAAAGTTTAGTGTTTATCTCTATTTACATGGAGTTGTTAAAGTGTTGTAGAAAAAAACAATACTAAGTGCAAAAACTGAACCTAAACAGTACTTAACAACCAGTGACTGTTTTCTTAAATTGTGAATTGTTATGCAAAATTGAGGGAAGAATCAACAATATATAATCAACAATATATTTTCCAGCAAAAAGGATTTTTATACAGGTTAGTTCTTAACACCTTTTTTCTTACCGCTTCAAGAATATAACCTCAAAGTAACGAAAAATATCTCAAAAAAACGTCGTCATTGCTACTGCACAAGAACCAGTAGCGCCATCTAGAGTTAGTAGGATAACCAACACATAACAGAAGCTGGAAACTCGAATCATTCCACCTCGTCTGCATGCACCAACAGAGGGCGACATCTGTATGTAAACATCAGCATATATCACAAATTGATTGCGAAATTAGCTATAACACTAACAAATAAATATGGAAAAAGTCATGGCTACTCTAAGCTTAATCCGGAAAGAATTGGACGAACAAAAAAACACAATCAAGGAAAGTGGAGCACAGGTCACAGAAAATGTAACAGAAAACATAAACAAAATTATTGAGGAAAAATTAGGTGCTTGGGAAGAAAAATATGAAGACTTAAAACAAAAAGTAGATAAGCAAGAACAAAGATTGGATCTGTTGGAAAAACAGGTGAGAAAAAGAAATGTGGTGATATTTGGCATTGAGGAACAAGAGCAACGTTACTCGGACTTAGAAAATATCATTATTGATTTCATATCTAAACATCTATCAATACCTATATCACATAACGAAATCCAAGAACTAAGGAGAATAGGAAAAAAATCTGATAATCCTCGCCCGGTTATATTATCACTCACAACAATGGGGAAAAAAATTAAAGTCTTCAAGCAGAAAAAATTACTGAAAGATACTAAATATTATATAAAAGAAGACTACCCACAGCATGTTTTGGAAAAAAGGAGAGAGCTACAAGAACAACTGAAAACAGTAAGAGAGAAAGGAAATAAAGCAATGATTAAATATGACAAATTGGTAATATTAAGGAATCCAGAAGATATTCCTACCCCGGAAAACAACAAAAAAAGATTCCTTTCTGTTTCCCCTCAAGAAAAGGACATTAGCCATAATGACCCACCCCTTAGAACACAAATCAACAAGAAAAATAAAACAACCCCTTTGAACGCTACGCCCACACCGTTTCCCAATTGCCCTGAAGGAAAAGTGAACCCGGGCATTCGAAACTATTTAGTAAATAAAACATCTACAACTAATCAAAAAAAATATAACAAAAATGAAACCAATTAGCAATCAGCCCCCCCTCTCCAAAAAATAGAATTAGCAAGAAAAGAAAGAGAAAACACAGATTATCTTCCAACCCGGTTGGTCACCGTGGAAGAGTATGACCACTACCCTCCAAGGAATATACCCACGATTACTGAACAAAAAAATAATAATAATAAGCTCTATGTGGCAACGTACAATGTCAGGTCCCTTTCATCATACGAACGACTGATAGAACTGCATGAGGCCTTAATGGGGGTGAAGTATGATATCATTGGCATATCAGAGGTCAGACGATTGGGCAGTAAAATAGAAGAATACGAGGACTTCATTCTATGCTATATGGGAGAGACTCCAGGAAAACACGGTGTTGGCTTTCTGATAAATATATCTCAAAAACAAAACGTAGAAGGCTTTACTGCAGTCACAGAAAGAGTCGCATTATTAAATCTCAACATACAAGGATACAACATAAGCATTATACAAGTATACGCGCCTACTGAGTCAGCGGATGATGAGGAGATCAATAAATTTTACGAATCGATAGATAAAGCCATGAAGTTCGCCCATAAAAACCTAATTGTTATGGGAGATTTTAATGCAAAGATTGGTCAGCCCCGAAAAGACGAATATTTAATAACAAAAAGATATGGTTATGGACAAAGAAATGAAAGAGGTCTGAGAATGATAAATTTTGCTTTTGAAAAGAAACTATCGATTATCAATACATACTTTAAGAAAAAACCAAGCCGTAGATGGACTTGGCGATCTCCAAATGGTCAGTATAAGAATGAAATAGATTACATAACAACTAACCAACCAAAAATATTTCAAAATATAGAAACATTAAATTTAAATTATTCATCAGACCATAGACTAGTCCGAAGCACAATTATCCTATCAAAACCTCATAAGAGTAGAGCCACATACATAAGCAAACAAAACAGTACTCTAAAAAATAACGAAGATATAAAGGAATACAAAAATAGTCTTGAAAACCATCTGTTAAAGTGGACCAAAATAGATACCGTACAACATTGTTATGATTCACTGATATACGCTATAATGCAAAGCCTGGAAACCAAAAAATCAATACCACAATCCACTATGAATCATAAAGTTTTATCAGAAAGAACAATATCGCTTTTAAAGAGAAGACAAGTACTACAAAAAACCAAAAATAAATCCCGTACCCAAAGAAACGAGCTTAGCGCTCTATATAAGTTAACGAGCAAATATATCAAGCTTGACTACAAAAACTACAGGGCGAATACTATAGAAAAACATCTTAAGCAAGATGGGAGTCTGAAAAAAGCTATTAAGGAACTACGAACTAATAGAGCCTGGATTGAAGGTTTGAAACAGCTGGGGAGAACATCACACAAACGCAAAGATATAATCGATATTGCAACAAACTTTTACCGGGAATTATACAGCGCCAAATCAGATGCACCGCTTCCTACTACTGAAATCAGCCAGTATAATGTAGAGACATTGGGTACGAGTATTAAAAACGAAATTCCACCGATCGATGAAATAGAAATTCTTCAAGCAATAAAGAGATTAAAATTGGATAAGTGTCCAGGGCCAGATAAAGTCACCAACGAGGCTATAAGGTACGGAGGAACTCTACTGGCCATGCCATTGGCGCACCTATTTAACCTCATCTTGGAAACGGCAACTATACCTATACAATGGACCGAATCAAACATAATTTTACTATATAAAAAAGGAGACTCCCATGATATTGGCAACTACAGACCTATTAGCCTTTTACCGACTCTATATAAATTATTTTCTTCGATCATTAATAAGAGAATAAGCGAAACATTAAACACATGGCAACCTGTAGAACAGGCAGGCTTTCGCAAAGGATTCTCTACAATAGATCACATACACGCCCTAGAACTAGTTATTGAAAAGTACCAGGAAAGACACAGACCACTCTACATCGCCTTTGTTGACTATCAAAAAGCATTCGATACAATATCCCACACGAGTATCTGGGAAGCCTTAAAAGTACAAAAAGTAGAAAAGGAATACATAGATGTTATAAGAAACATTTATAGTAAAAGCACTGGCAAAGTAAAGTTGGAAACGATTGGCCAAAGCTTTCCTATTAAGAGAGGAGTAAGGCAAGGCGACCCGCTATCGCCAAATCTTTTTATAGCTGTACTGGAAACCATCATAAGAAAACTGGATTGGAATAAATGTGGTCTAAACATTAATGGCAGATACCTAAGCCATCTAAGATTCGCAGACGATATAGTGTTATTATCAGAAACTAGCTGTGGCCTGCAATACATGTTAGAGACCCTCAATATAAGTAGCAGACAAGTGGGATTGGAGATGAACCTGTCAAAGACGAACCCTATGACAAATAACATCAAGAAGTGTATCAGGTTAGAAAATAGAGCGCTGGACTACGTGGATGAATATATCTATCTTGGAAAACAAATAAGTTTCAAAACGAACAGCAATGAAGTGGAGATACAGCGCAGAATAAAAATCGCGTGGAACAAATATTGGAGCCTAAAAGAAGTATTTAAAAGCAACATGTCGATAAAGCTCAAAACAAAAACTATGGACTCATGCATTCTGCCCTCTCTAACGTATGGTTGCCAGACGTGGAAAATTACGAAGAAAATTAAAAACAAAATTAGTTCATGCCAGAAAGGAATGGAACGTAGCATGTTGAACATAAAGAAAATACACAAAATACGACACACGAAAATACGAAACTATACCAAAGCAATAGACGCGCTGGCTTACGCTCAAATACTAAAATTCAGATGGGCCGGTCATATAGCCCGATACGTGGACAACAGATGGACCATACATGTAACCACATGGAAGGGCCCGCCAGGCAAACGCCGAGCAGGGAGACCCTACATGAGATGGGAGGATGACATAAAGAAGATCGCAGGAACAAACTGGTTACAAATAGCAAAAAATAGAGAAAAATGGAAATCCTTGGAGGAGGCCTTTACCTGAGAGGGGTCCATGCTATTTATAATATTAATATCATTTTAGCATTAAATATTATTCTATTGATTTATTTAATTTAATATTTATTTATTTAATGATGACAACCTTTTTACATAAGTTCATTGAATTGTATAAGAAGATTATAAATTTTAAATAAATAATTGTATGATAATAATAATGAAAGATAGGCATATAAGCAAAAATTAAATAATAATTTAAAAAAAAATCTAAATGTGTTATGTTAATAGTAGTACTCTGAGCTAAATGTCATGTATTTTATTTTTATTATTTTTATTTATTTTTTATATAAATAATTATGTTATCATTTGATCTAGGGAATCTGAATTGAATTGTTGTATAATATTTCAAAGCTGAAAAATCATTGTAATGCATGGAATTAAAGGCTTTTTTATTTTTTATTTATTTATTACATATCTGTTTATTATATTCCGTGTATCTGTATCTTGTAAAACGTTACTTGCTCTTTTCAGAGCAAGTCCCTGTTCTTTTGAGAACAGGGGTCTGTTTCTTGGATTAAGAGCGTCCCGTTCTTTTCAGAACGGTGATCCCGCCCTTACTGCTTAGGTTCAGAACGTCTCTGTTCTTTTCAGAACAGCATCCCCCCAGCCCCATTCGTTTCTCAGCATCATGTCCAAACAAGACATTATAGGTTCCATCGTGTCAGGCCTTAATAGGCTGGATAATTCGGCTCTCACCACAATCGCGGCAACTATTGCCTCATATGCCCCTCAGGCAACTCAACCGCCGCCCGTTATAGCGGACTACCTCGCGTCACGTAATTCGTTCGCGCCGCTCGAAATCGACATGGAGTGCTCTCACTCCGATTCCGCGTCATCAACATTTGCCTCCCGGAAGAGGCCTGCTAAACAGTCCAGCACCAGGACATCGGAGTCCTCTGACTCCGATGATACCGGTGACTCCAATACATCGTCGTACACCACGGTTTCGTCAAAGCGCGCAGCGAAGCGCGCCGCGAAAAACCGTTCGCCCCCCGCCGAAGCGGCCCGTGCCGCTCCCCCCACCCCCGCAGCCCCCGCCGCTGCCGCGTCTACCTCCGCAGCCCCCGCGGCTGCCTCGACCCCCTTAGATATTGCAGCGCCGTCGAAGCCGGCTTCACGTTGCGCTCCGCAACTCGCGAAAAAACCAGTCCCGCCCCCTGTCTTTTAGAGAGACAAGGCGGAGTTCACCAGACTTAGCAAGATATGCTACGACTCTGGAATTAAATATGTCATAGCTACGAACATGGGCGTAGCGATAAAAATAGTTCCGCAATCGATTGACGATTTTCGCCGCCTCACTAGGCTTTTTACAACTGAACGCGTATTGTACCACACATACGCTCTTCCGGAAGAGCGTAAAGTCAAGGTCGTCATCCGAGGCGTCTCGTTCGAACGCTCCAACGAGGAGATTCTTGATGACCTTAAGTCACAAGGATTCCCCGTCGAAGCTGTTCATAAAATGCACAGTAGGACCGGGTTGAGATACCCGATAGTCTTAGCTATCCTAACCAACGTTCCGGAGGCGCAAACCATCTTCCGGCAAGTACGCACGGTGTGCGGCTTGTCGGGAGTTAGGGTTGAGTCACCGCATAGGCGCGGTTTCCCGGCGCAGTGCCACCGCTGCCAACTATATGGTCACGCGGCGGCCAATTGCTCCGCCCCACCCAGGTGCGTTAAGTGCCTAGATCCACACATCACCAAAGAGTGTCCCCGGCCTAAAGATGCCGTATCCCCGCCCGCGTGCGTCCTGTGTCAACAGACAGGCCACCCGGCAAGCTACAGAGTATGCCCGTGCGCTCCTCGTCCTCGTATAATTAGACAGGTCCCACCGCCGGTAAATGACCGTTCATTCCCGGCGTTATATGTTAGGAGGCCCCGTCAGGGCGTATCTCAGCCGTCTCAGGGCGTTGCAAGACCCCCTCAGGGTCCCCCGAGACCACCAAAAGCACCTATTAGGCCACCTCCGGGCTTCTCAAAGCCTACACAGGCTCCAGTTTTTCCCTGGGGCCCCAAAAAGGTTGAAACACCGCAGGCAACCTCTGCTCCGCAGCAGAAACAGCCTACAATCGCCGATGACCTTAACACGGTTTACGCCGCGATAAGGAACATCGACGTTAATGAAATTGCTATATTAGCAAACAAGTTGCGCGCCGCTCGGTCCCCCCAGGACCGTTTTCTGGCTCTCGTAGAGCACAGTAACCTATTGCGTTCGTTGTAAGTTAAGTTAACTTAATTAACTTAGCTTACAATGACAGAGCCTTCTGCTCTGCCTAAAAGTCACGGTCGTATCAAGCCCAAAGGGCTATCGCTTATTTCATTTAACATTCGCGGATTGCGAAATAACCTCCCAGAGCTAAAGCTCTTCCTTAAAGATCGCGAAGCTGATTTTCTCCTCTTACAGGAAACCAACCTTAAAAACAAAGACACTAAAGGCTTATCCATTAAAAATTATTCTCTTCTTCGTAATGATAGGCGCGACCGCCGAGGCGGTGGCACGGCCATTTATTACAAGAAGACACTACATTGCTCTCTTATTGATACTCCGCAGCTTGCCAATATGGAAGCTACGTTATGCAGGTTATCTATGACGGGACATCAGTCTTTAGTCATAGCCTCCTGTTACATTCCCCCTAAAAACCTCCCCCTCAAAGATGATTTTGAGGCAATCTTATCTCTTAGTAATTCAGTCATTATGTTTGGAGATTTTAACTCTAAACATACTGAATGGACATGCCGTACGATTAACCGTAGTGGTAGGATACTGCGTGATATAACGCAGTCTCTTGACATAACCGTTTTCAGCCCGCTCGGTGCAACGCACTATCCCGATGCTACCGATTTAAACCCAGATGTTGCGTTACTCAAAGGAGTTTCACTCAACCTCAGGTCTATTGAGACACTAGACGATATAGGATCCGATCACCAAACGGTCTCCCTTATTCTTGGCCATCAGCCACCCCCTATTATAACTACGAAAACCTTCACTAACTGGAAGGGTTTCAAGGACTCCCTAGCAAAAGCTATGGACTCGCAGGACTCCCCTAATTACCTATCGTCGGATTTAGACTAAGACAGTCCCGTAAAAATCGACACCGCGGTCGAATCACTTTCAACCCTAATTATATCCTCCCTTAAGGAGAATGAAAGGGTCGTCCCGGTTGCTAATACTAATGGGCTTCCCCTATATATTAGCAACATATTAAAAGCTAAAAAAGCTGCTTTCCGGAGAGCAGCTAAATATCCCACCCCCGAATATAGGCATACGGCTAATCGTCTTCAACGAAAACCCCGTTCACACCTTTCTGAATTTCGAGACCTCCAAAGGAGTGAACTCATGGAGAATATAACTCCTTCTCATACAGCGTACTATCAGATGGCTAGAGCCTTCCGTATAGACGCTACAGCTCACACTCCCCTTCTCTCCCGCCCCGACGGTACGGTTGCCTTCGAGGACGACGAAAAGGCTGAGTGCTTTGCAGACAGCATTGCCGCACAATGCTCTCCTAGCTCTCAACCTGTCGACCCCTCACACATTCAGGAAGTGGAAAATGAGGTCCGCCGCCGGAACTCACCCCCCACATCCTGCGACCCTATCACTGTGTCCAATGATGAGATTTCATCCATCATCAAAGGACTTAAGCCCAAAAAGTCTCCGGGCGCGGATGGCATATCCAACCAAGCCCTCAAAAACTTCCCAGAGCAGGTGTTAACACTCTTATCTATTATCTTTAACGCCTGCTTCAATCTTAGTTATTTTCCCACTACTTGGAAAGAGGCAATTGTCATTGGTATTCCCAAGCCAGGCAAGCCTCTTAACCTCCCCTCCAGTCATCGTCCCATTAGCCTCCTAAAGGCCATGGGCAAACTCTTTGAAAGAGTCATTCAAAATCGAATGAGGCGCCATCTGTTTCCCACAGACGGTGACCCCCTTGTCATCCCACACCAATTTGGTTTCCGTGCGAAACACTCGTGTCCACAACAAGTACACCGCATTGTGGAATATGTCCTCAGCGGTTTTAATCCACGTCGACTAAAGACAATCGCGGTCTTTTTCGACATTGCCAAAGCCTTCGACCGCGTCTGGCACGAAGGCCTTATTTTCAAATTATATAGGATAGGACTTTCCGATCGTCTAGTACGTCTCATAGCCTCTTACCTACAACATCGTAACTTTCGATTTAGACACGAAGGCACGTTATCCTCTCAGCGCCCCCTTAAAGCTGGTGTTCCTCAGGGATCAGTACTAGCTCCCCTCCTGTACATCTTGTACACCAACGACATTCCAATCCCGTCGAATGGTGTACAGCTCTCACTCTTCGCAGATGACACTGCTCTTTACTTCAAAAGTCCTAGAATATCTTCAGCAAGGAACAAGATCCAAAAGTCAGTCGATGACCTAGGAGATTGGTTCCAAAAATGGCGTATCGATGTGAACCCGGAGAAGAGCTCCGCAGTTCCATTCGATATTAAAAGACGCCGTAATAAAAACAAGAAAAATACTCCACCTATACAAATGCTAGGAACCCCTGTCCCATGGCATATGTCAGCAAAATATTTAGGCGTCACCCTTGACTACAGGCTTACTTTTGAGCCTCATGTCAAAAGAGTAACACGTCTAGCTCGTTTATACCTAGGTAGGCTTAACAGTATGTTAGGCCGACATAGTAAAATGTCATTAAGAAATAAGCGAACCCTTTATAAGGTTTGTATACGTCCCGTAATGACTTACGCGGCCCCCGTATTCGCACACGCCGATAATAAAATTATTAACGAACTACAAGTAGTTCAAAACTTATTCTGTCGTCGAGCTACGAACGCACCTTGGTACGTCCGTAATGCCGATTTTCACCGGGATTTAGAAATCCCAACAATTCAGCAATTTACTAAAACTCTCTCTGAAAACTTTTTTAAAGTTTCAGAGTCGCACAATAACTCATTAATTCGTGAGGCAGTAACTTATACCGCCCCACTCCCCTCCCGCTATAC